CCGTTGCACTTTCCACAGGGATACGTGATCAAAATTCACACACTTGGCAACCGACTCACACTTGACGGTTGCGGTGTCCCAGGGTCACGTGATCAAAATTGGGACGCTTGGCAACCTTGGCTCATATTTATGACTGTCGCAGCGTCCTGGGGAGGGTTACGCGATCCCCTTTTGCGACCTCCTGACAAACAAGATCCGCATAACAACCGTGTGATCAACTTAACAGACGCAATGATTCACTTAACGACGCCTGTGGCAAGAACATCTGTAAAATGGGGCCAAACTCATTTAACAGCCGTCTCGCTTAGCAACTGAAATTCCGGGCTCCATTGTGGTCTTAAAGTGAGGATTAGCTGTATGACTGGGCCCCTCTCGGGCTCCTGGACCCCAGGGAGGCCAAACACCAGCCCTGGAGGAGGCAAGGCCCAAGCCCCTCCTTCAACCCTAAGCTGGACGGCAGCTCTCTAGAATGGCTGGGGCTGATGGGGAGCGGAGTCGTTACCTTGGATGTGATATAGAACAGCTGCCCGCAGGTCAAACTCCCCCCAGCTGGCTTTTCTTTCCAAACCGCTGGGGGGGCTCGGCTCTTTGGTGGAGGCTAACAAAGTGTTCGTAGGCGAAGGCAAGCAACTTTCTACGTGGTAGTCCTTGGCGAGGAACACAAAGGCCCCCGCCCCCCCCAGCTCAGCCTGGGGCAGGCCCCCCGGCAGCTGGGGCTCCAACAGCAGCTGGCTCTCCTCCCCAGCGGCCCCCAGCTTTAAGAGGCCGCCCAACAGCTGGGGACTAGTCCGTTTGGCCAGCTCGTAGGCCTTGGGGAAGGCCGGCGGTTCGGGTCCGGCGGGAGGCGTCTCGGCCCCGCGAGGAACCAACGTGGCGGGGCAGGAGCCCTGGAAGGTCACCTCGGCCCCCTTGGTGTCCGTCGGCTTCCTGGCCGAAGAAGTCTCCGGGCCCGTGCTGGGCTCGTTTATAAACGATAACCCCCACTGGTTCTGGAAGATATCGCCCAAGTTTTGCTGCGTGGCCAGGAACGGAGACTCGGCCACGCTGAACAGGCCGTGCATATTGGAGGGGTAGATGAACAGACTCGACTTGGGCTGCTCGTTGGCGACCATGGAGGGACCGGCGTCCTGGCAGGCCAGCTTGGAAGAGGCCGAAAGGACAGTACTTGCAGCCGGCACCAGCAGGGCCTGGACCCCGGCCGGACAGCCCCCGCGGTCAGCCCCTGCCAAGAGGGGCCCGTTGGAGAAGCTGGCCGATGTAACGGACTTCATGGCGGACATGGGGACCTGGGGGAGGCGGGTGGAGGGCTGGGCCGGGACCTCCCCTGCGGAAGAGGAACACAAGGAGGAGGAGGAGGAGGAGGAAGAGGAGGAGGAGGAGAGGGAAGGAGCCGCCTTGTTGAGGTTCTCTTTCACTTTGCTTGCGTAACTGATCTTGGGAACGATCTTGGCGCTGCTGTTGTCCACGGGGAAAACCGGGGGCGGCTTAAACAGGGTCCAGGAATCTTCCTTCGAGGACGAGACGTGCTTCCCCTTGGCACGCTCCTCAAACTTTTTGCCGGCCGGTCCGACTTTGGCCTCCGCGGCCTTCCGAAGCATGTCCCCAACGCCGACTGGCTTCCCGCGGCCCACCCCCAGGCCCCCCGGGGGCTGCTCACACTTCCACGCGGGCTTCAGGCCGTCCAGCCGAGGAGGGCCGGCCTTCGGGTCCCCCCCGCCGCTGTCGGCCCTGAAAGGCTCCGGCTCCAGCTTCAAGGCCGGGACCGGGCTGCCCGGCACGATGTTCTCCTGCCCCAGACTCAAGTTCTCGCAGCCCTTGACGCTGTTGCGCCGTCCTTTCCGCTTCTTGGGCGTGGTGTAGCCGCTCTCTGAGCCGCTGCCGTCGTTGTCGGCCCCTTTGCTGGCGCAGCCGTTGGTGATGTACTCAGAGCCGTCGGGCAGGATGCCGTTGGGGACGTTGGGGTGCATCTTGGCTTTGTCCCAAGGGTGACCCTCTCGGCCTGCGCTCTCGTTGCATTGCTCGTTCTTCCTGTCCAGGCTGTTCTTCAGGGTGAAGGTCTTGGTCTTTAGGCCAGCTTTAACGAACATCCCACCTTTCACTGTCTGCTTGAGAGCAAGGCTAAGCTCTCTGCCGGGCTGGCTGCCGTTGGAGACCACGGAAACGGGACCCGGCAAGTCGCTGGCACCGGGAGATGTCAGGAAGGGGTCTCGGTCGCCGACGGTCCCGTTGACCTCGCCATACTCTGCAGAAAGAGAAGAGCGGAAGATTAGAGGCCTGCAAGCTCGAAGGTGGCATTTGTAAGACCCCAAGACACGCCGCAAAGGCTTAAGGCAGGGGTCTTCCAACTTGGCCCTTTGATGACTTGTGGACTTCAACTCCCAGAATTCCCCAGCCAGCTTATTTCAGGGGTCTTCCAACTTGGCCCTTTGATGACTTGTGGACTTCAACTCCCAGAATTCCTCAGCTAGGCACACTGGCTGAGGAATTCTGGGAGTTGAAGTCCCCAAGTCATCAAAGGGCCAAGTTGGAAGACCCCTGTCTTAAAGCCTCCTGGCTGAGGAATTCTGGGAGTTGAAGTCCCCAAGTCATCAAAGGGCCAAGTTGGAAGACCCCTGTCTTAAAGCCTCCTGGCTGAGGAATTCTGGGAGTTGAAGTCCCCAAGTCATCAAAGGGCCAAGTTGGAAGACCCCCGTCTTAAAGCATCCTGGCTGAGGAATTCTGGGAGTTGAAGTCCACAAGTCATCAAAGGGCCA